TCGCACAACAGCAGCAGCAGTAGCAACAGGCACCGACACACCTAGACCCCCAGCAGCAGCAGGAGCAGCAACAACAACTGCAGCAACAGCAACTACAGCAGAGCTATATGGAGCAGAGAAAGAGGGGAAGCATAAGTTCAGGGTCTAGCACACCGGCAGTAACTAATAGGGGTTGGTGGCGGCACGTATGCAGACAAAATATATACAAAAGAAAAGGCGCATAATAGTAAAACACAAACGAAATTTAAATATACAAAAGAATGAAGAATATAATAATATATAAAATAGAAAGGCAATGGACGGTCGAGTGGACTGCATTCGGCGGTTTATATAAATAGTTTAACAAATTGTTTCTTTGCACAAAAAAAAATAAAATTTCTTCAGCTCGTCTGCATGCATGCAGTGTTTCTTCTCCTTTCAGGCCAAACATAATACAATATAAAACAAGAGAAATACCCCAATTAGACTGCTTTGACTCTGTCTCTGTGTTTTCATTGTTTTCTCCGTCTGGTGGCTATGGAGTTCGGCTACGGTGTATGTAGAACTCTACACAACTTCAGGTGTACGTACACCTACTTTGGTAGTGTTTCAAGCCGACTTTTATATCTCTTCTTTGTTTTTCTGTCTCTGTCTATATCTCAGTTTCTGTCTCTGCCTGTGCCTCTGCCTGCACTTGTCTCTTCTTCTGTCTCTGTCTCGCTGTCTCTTTCTGTCTCTATCTCTCTGTCCCTCTCTCTTTCTTTCTCTGATTCTCTATCTATGTATCTGCTTATATACTTGTCGTTTGCAACGCAGAAAGTTTTATTAAGAAAAGAAGCAGTTGTTATTGGTATTGTGTTGATAGCAGGTGAAATGAAGGTTTGGCTTATGTAGGCGCTGCTGCGCCTGCAAGTCCTCGTATCTCTGCTATTTCATGCTGCAGACTGACCCCAATTTTGTGTGCATGCACGCATGCAGCGAAGAACTGGCCAGCCGTCTGTAGACTTCTATGCAGACGGCTGTNATTTTGTGTGCATGCACGCATGCAGCGAAGAACTGGCCAGCCGTCTGTAGACTTCTATGCAGACGGCTGTATGTACGGGTGACGAGGAGGGGATAGACAACAGCACCGATGATCGCAGCACTGAGCTCCTTATAGTATTCTAGTAGATATTCTAGTGAGTCAAGAGAATACCGAGCAAGACGAGAGAATGGCATCAATACCTTGGCCATCTGAGCCGTGAAATTGTGCCGCTTTGTCAGCTCCTTGCAAAAGAATTTGCTGCTTTCCCGCAGCAGCGCAGCTAGCTGCAGCAAGCGACCCCTTAATACATAATAAACTCCGAGTGTATGTACAGCTTTCGTCTTGCGTCCTTCTATATCAAGACCATGTGATCCTCTCCCAGCAACAATAGGAATACCACTTAAATATAATAAACGTTTACTGCATACATCTACATCTAATACAGTTGAAATAATATCATTTGTATAACTACGAAGAGCTTCGGATAGATCAGGGGTAAATAGCTGACCCGCCCAGTCTAGCACTGTAAGATAGCTACGCAGTAACTCTTGCAAATGAAAAGAATCTAGTAAATTTCCTATTGCTTCTACATGCCAGTATTCTAATACATCTTGAACTTTTCCACTTCTGAAATGTGGCAAACCCAAAGAATGCCATACAGCTTTCGCTGGGTCTGCTGGTGCTGCACGGCCCCTCACCCCTGTATGGTTCGGCTCAGCTGGTGGGGTATCTGCTCGCACTGCTCGCAAATCTGGAGTGGCTGTAGCAGCCAGCTGCGCATGCGGAGGTGATGGGGGCGGACGAGGTGTAGCTACAGCCGGAGAAGAAGAAACTGCTGCAGGCGGCTTGTCGCTCTTCCTTGAAAAGAAATCTGAAAAACAAACAAATACGCAGAAACATATAAAGATGCAAAAAAAGAAAAAGAAATATATCAGAAACAAATAAAAACAAACTATATGAAAGAGAAACAAATGAAATATGCACAATAAACATGCATATCATAAGCTGGTCAAGCTTATGCAGCAACTGGAGCCGCTGCTGTTTCTGCAGCAACTGGATATGCTGCAGCGCAAGCATCGACTGCTGCAGCAGCTGCAGCAACTGCAGCGGCTGCAGCAACTGCAGCAGCTGCAGCAACTGCAGCAGCTGCAGCAACTGCAGCAGCTGCAGCAACTGCAGCAGCTGCAGCAACTGCAGCAGCTCACGCTGCTTGCATGCAGCAGAACGCACCTTTGACGCGACGCCCCAGACGGCGCAGCACCCCTGGCCGCGGCTGTGCTTTGGGTGCGGCATCGACCGCCTCAGCAAATGCGTTGGGGTGTACAGACACATCAGAAGCCGCGAGAGCAGCAACCAGAAAAAGACAAACTACAACCAACGCTACACCGTGCAGCAGACGCTTCCCCTCCCACCCTGGACGTCCTTGATGGGGGGAACGACGAGCCCCGGAAGAAAAGAGAAAAGCAGCCATCTGCATGCGTTTGCTGCTGCTGCTGCTGCTACTGCTGCTGCAGTATATCCAATAGGCTCACAGCTGCTCATATACTGGAGGCAGCCGCGAGAGAACGCCGCGCCAACAGCCACAAAAAGGAATACCCTTCAGATATTCCCGCAGACGGGACCCCCATAGGAACGAACCCACATACGCAACACAACAGAAGGTGTTGAACTGCTGCCTCCTCCCTCGGCTGCCGGCGCGCTGCCTGCAGTTCAGATGCCGCTGCTGAGCTTAATAGCACCAACAACAACACGGATAACGCTGCTACTCTTGTTGCAGCTGCTGCAGCTGCTCCTTCGCTGTGTGGCTGTTGTTGCTGCTGCTATTGCTCCTACTGCTGTTACTGCTGCTCCCGTTGCCCACGTTCCTGCTGTCGCTGCTACTACTGCTGCTGCTGCTCACGCTGCTGGAAGGCTCGCTTGCTTGCGTCGATAGGGCCCAGTAGCAGACTAAAGCGCAGCAGCTTGGGGCGCGTCAGAGCGGAGGAGCCGCCTTAAGGTGAGAGGCTATGTGGCGGGATGTCGAGAGAAACCGGAGAGGAAGAGAAGAGGAGGAGAAGAGAAACTGAAGTGCTGCGGCGGGCGGGCGCTCCCTTGCAAGGCCTCGCGTGGCCTGCTGCATCTAATTTGATGGCTTTCAGCGAAATATACCTCTATGCATTAGAAAAACAAAGACATTTCGTCTTGAATTGAGGTAAATAGGTTCAAAAAGCACCGCCAGGAACATCTACAGCCGCATGTACTGCGGCTGCCGTCGGGAGGTGCCCCCACGCAGAGAGTGGAGGGATTAGTCTTCTTCTTCCCCGTTTTGAATAAAATACATTTCGTAAATTTAATTAAATCGCTGGAGAAAATGCGAAAAAAAGAACATTTAGGTACAAGATCGGCTGCTTACCGCTTCTGTGGCTGCAGAGCGTGTAGTGAGCAGCTCACTCTCCTGTTACTACTGTACTGTCCTATACCTACTTACTACCTTCAAGCCGCACACTCAACAACTAAACTATTTCAATCAATGTAATTTTCCTTAACTAACCCAAACTACAAAATAACAGTATACTACTCCTATCAGACTCACTTCCCCATAGAAGAAGAAGAATAGTAATTCTTCTACCATACCCGTGACCCCGTACGGGTCAGTGCCTCGGGCGCAGTGTCAGCCTCACAGCCAGCCCCATACCCAGTGAGGCTATGGTTTACTATAAGCTCTTAGGCCCTATTTCCTGTATAAATTAACTTAGTTTATCTCTAACAAGATGTTATTTATACTATATCTTTAGCGTAAAACTCTAGAGGTCTCATTTGAGGTTCAATGTAGTGCTTGTACACTATAGACCGCCTCCTCGATGTAAGCGGGACACTGACTCCTCCACCTCGATGTGGCTCTACAGCTCACTAGTCCTTTCTGAAGCATTTCTTTCAATTATTTCGCAATTTGTTTTAGCTTAAATAACCTTTAAATCCAGCCCCACGCCAGCTGTGCGTACACCTCGTGAAGCCGCTCCGGGGACGACGAGTGAACAAGAGCAGCCGAGAGCAGGTAAGGCTTAATTGCTGCTCGTTGTTGTTTCTCTCTCTATGCAAGCCAATAAGCGTCTACCTTCCAACGCGCCACTTAACACTCGCTATTCCAGGCCAGCGAGTTTCGAGCAGAAGCGGAGCAGGCCGTGTTATGTAACTAGTCCTCGATCTTCGTGCGGGGCCCTCGTTAGTTGCTGCATAGTCGAATAACTTATTAGGCTCCCCAAAAAACATGTAGCCACCGTACCAGTCTCCAAGTGACCTCTGTACAGCGGCACAAGGCCCATGGACAGGTGCTGCAGCATGGTGTATCTGAAGTTCGTGTATCTACGTCTGCTTCGGCGTAAACTGGCTACTCTACCCTACTGGACTACAAGTGCTTAACAATTGTATACAGTCTTCATGTAAGCAAAGTCTAGCTTCGCTTGCAGTTTTGGTTGCCTTGCAGTGTCAGCTGCCGCACGGTGGGTTGCAACCCATGACATGCTGGCTCCTCTCAGTACCAGACTGGGGCACGTGGGCCGCTGTTCCCAAGACATATGGGGGCTGCAGGCGAGCTCATCTGCTTTTGGGGTTTGTTCTATTGCAACATGGCACAGTTCCCGGCTAACTGAGAGGGACCGTAGTTACCACTACACCTGGTAGCACAGTATGCTCTGCCGCGGGAGGTGAGAGCAGCGAAGCCCACCCCCACAGCTAGGCGGCCTGGCGTGTAGCACTAATCAATGACGGAGGTCTCTTTTTAATAAGAACCATAGACGGAAGAACCTTTAGATATTTTCCCGAAATTCTTACCAGTACTTTGTCCTTTCTGTCTCTCGTATATTGGAAATCATCCATTACCTGCCCTTCGGCGGTGGAGGAGTTCGTTGCCTCTCTCGTGTTCTACATTCTTCTTCAAAGTTCACCCAAATCTCTACAGCTGCCACTGGCATCTGCTTTATTTGGCATGACAAATGTCCCTATAACTTGTTTCCAATGTTACCGCCTTACCGGAGTACGAAACTATGGAGAAATATCCAATTTCCCGGTATTGGAAGGACGGCCTTCGGTCTTGTCTGAGGGCAGCTATGAACTGAAATAGAGTTGGACTACTTTAGTATAGAAGTTTGCAAATCGCATATATCTGCCTTTCTAGTTGTAAGCCACCCTAAACCAAGCGGTCCCAAGTGCCTGGAGCCGGAGAAAAGGAGGTGGCCTTATACGAGGTGCAACTTACCTTGCTGCAACTCATGCTGCAATGGAACTCCGCATTCATGTACAAGCGAGCTATATATATGCGTGCATTAACACTATAGACGATTGTTGAGCACTTACGTAACCCCCCGTGGCCAGCCTATCCGCCGTCTCCCTGACAGCTAACCACCTTGCCTCACAATTTTTCCTTTCTCCCACCTACGCTGCGAGCTTTGGAAGGGAAACATCAGACAAATTGTGGTCTCATCTGCTGGGGCTGAGCACCACATCTGGGGCTTTACCGGGAGCCCCAGCCGCCTGCGAGAAGCGGCGGCGGGAGGGGAGGCCCGGTTCAGACAACAAACGAAAAGGTACCCGGAGCCCCATCCGCACAACAGCGGCCTTAGCATTCCACAACACAGTTGAAGCGCCAGAAGCGGCGTCACCAAGGCTAGCCAAGAACTGAGGAGCGGGTTGGGACGGCATCGCCGTCCGTCAGAAGCCCGTCCCTCGGAACGGTGGAAATCGAATGCCGCTATTGAGCTATGGCAGCTTCTCGACTATTGCCTTCTGTGACGCAACCTCTCAACGCCACGAAGAGAGTGCGATTGGCGCTGAAAGCAGCTAATCCTTCGCCCATTTGCAAACGCCTGCATCTCTTCCTCCGTAGGAGGTCCGGACCCTGCAGTTTCACTCTGACGGCTCGGTTATTCGTTTTGTTTTACAGTTCCTTTCCACGTGCTCTACGTCCACACTGATTGCTCTAGCGACTCAGGTTGTCCAGAGGGTGGCCAGGCACCGGCGGGGATGGTTGAGCCCGTTCGAGTCAGATGCGGCAACTGATGCGCTAAATGCCTTCATCTATAGAAACGATTCTATATTGAAGATATATGCTGCCCCTCTAACTATTTCTTTATCTTACCATCATCAGGAGCAGCAACAGCGAGGTCAGCAGCAGCCGCAGCAGCACCCGGAGCCGCTGCTCGAGCAGCAGAAGCACCAGGAACAGCCGCTCAAGCAACAGCAAACCATATCCAGCACCAGAGGAGCACGATGCCCTTGTACCGGCACAGCAGCAGCAGTTGGTTGCCGCGGTGGAGGGTTGGAGGATGTACTGCACGGCAAGTAGCATCCAAAAGGGGACCGGCAGCGCGAGCAGCAGGAGACATGGTGCAGCCCTACAACATTGAACATGGCAATCGGCGCAAGAGGGCTTGCTTTTCACCGATAGAGAGGCAGATGTAGCATGAGTGAGCGCAGTAGCCTTCACTTGGCCTTTGTACGTTGTGTGTAACCGCATGCAAACGTTCTATAAGTACATTCAGAGGTAAAACATGCAACAAAGAAACCTTCTCTGAAGCTTTCTTGTGTGCAGGCGTGAGGCTGGCTTGCACTACCAGCCGCAGGGAGGTGCGCTGCAACTCCGCTTCAGGCTGCCTCCTCCCCGCAACACCCAGGCCCTCATCTCAACTCCCAGTGGGTCTGGGGATAGGTTAAGGTGGTCAGCTCAATTAGGGAAACTCTTGCTTTAACTCTCTACCTGCATTACAGCTAGCTTCTGCGCTTGATTAAGGCCAGAGAGCAAGCGCTATACGCAGTACGTCAATTTTTATGGATTCACAACACCCCATCGTGTGAGAGAACCTGGATCCCTACTAGGTCCCACAGTTTGGGTATTTCTCTGCGTTTCTGTTGTCCTTGATGGCACGAGACACTGAGATGCGCTCATTGCTTAGTGCATCCATCGACGATAGTGGGATCACGTTCCCAGGACTCCATTATCCCTAATGCCCCAAACTCCTCTTAGCTGGCCTGCCGTAGAGGAGTTTCTCACAGCCAAACAAAAGCAGCTGATATTGCGACTTGTATAGTCCAGCATTCCCTCTTCTGCCCTGTGTCTTCACCACTTCACTGCTACAAGGCAAACCGGACTCATCAGCTAAAGCCACAAACTCCCTATATAGTGAAGCGGACAGGTATCTCCCCAGACCCGAGACAGCGAAGCAGACAGATATCTTTGTAAACTACCTGACCAAACCTTAAGTTGCAATCTCCAGTCCGTTCACCATCTACTTCCCGAACCCTTAACATCGAACCCTAGACTGTCACCCTCAAACGCCAACTCCCTACACATTCTACCCGCCACCTCCCCCTGATGCTGTTTCTAGAGAAGCCCTCTACGTACCCCTTCCAAAATACAAGATCAATCATCCTCCACCCCCTATTTATCCTCGCTCCAGCTCAACTATCAGCCTACTTCGCTACCTACACATAGTTAATGTATATATATTTTTGCATGCTTTTATGCATGCATTCTATCCACACCTGCTGCTTACTGCCTAAATATGGTGCGTACCTAAACTCTCGCAAGTGTGCATCTGTAGTAAAGCCACTTCTATTGCCTTCAACAAACTCGCTGACTCCCCTGTTGCTGTTCGCACTTCTTT